AGACCAGAAGATCACCAGCTGACCGACCACGGTGAAAACCGTATTGGCGGTCACTAATCAGCTGGTGATCCTCAAGGTACCTCATAAGCTGGCAGTTTACAATGGTCTCCATTGTTTTGGAGAACAAGGAGGTGATGGCGATAGGCCGGTAGTTGGACGGGTCTGAGCGGTCGCCTTTTTTAGGGATCGGGTGGATGAAAGCCGTCTTCCATGATTTTAGGACTACGCCTAGGGAGTAGGAGTACCGGAAAAGACGCATTAAAACCGGTGCCAACTCGGGAGCACACGTCCTCAGCACAATGGGGGGGATTCCGTCAGGCCCACTCGACTTGTAGATGTCCAGGGAGAGGGGTGCTTTGCGAACCGAGCGCTGTGTGAACTGCACTTCCGGCATGGAGCACTTACACCGCGGGATGGTCGACAGCGTACTCCCCCCGTCATCGAGGGTCGAGTTGGACGCAAAGAAAGAGCCTAAAAGATCGGCTTTCTCCTTTGCGGTATGGGCCAGTGAGTCGTCCTCCCTGTGCAGAGCTGGAAGTGATGGCTGACAGAAATTCCCCTAGGACAGCCTTGGCGAGAGACCAGAATGCACGGATTCCAGAAGGAAGGTGAACTAGTTTCTCGCCAATTCTGCCTATGTGCTCTGACTTTGCCTTGTCAATGACACTCTTGAAGGACCTGGAGGCGGAATTATACTTCTTTTTTTAGAGCGCTGGTGTTTACATCCCGGGACGCTGATGCGTCAGCCCAGGCTTGGTAGCACTCCTGCTTATAGCATGATGCTATTTTATAGGAGCGACTAAACCATGGCTGAGATTTGCTTCCAATTGGCACCACAGAGGAAGGAATAAAAAGTTCCATACCCTGAAGTACCACATCTGCGACAGAATCCGCAACAACGTTGGGATCGTCCGGCGAGAAGCAAACCCGCCCCCAAGGGTAGATTGCAAAGAAAGACCGCATCCCATCCCAATCGGCTGATCTATAGCGGCAAACACGGCGGCAGCCTGCAGAATGCAATTGCGATTTCAGCGTGAGTGGCACCACACTCCGAACGTGGTGAGAGCCTAAAGGGGCGTCGACGGAAATCTGATATCCGTCCGGGTGAGAGGTCAGCAGAAGGTCCAACAGGGAAGGTGCATGATCCTCCACATCTGGAATCCGCGTAGGCGAAGTAACCAGTTGAGTCAGACCATATGCCAAGGCAAAATCATGAAAAGATCTCCCCGCATGATTGGTTAAACGTGAACCAAGCCATTCGGCGTGATGGGTGTTAAAGTCGCCGAGGATCACGATCTCTGCGGAGGGGATCTGCTGTATCAACGAATGTGTGTATCATTTGGACGTGGTCGAAGAGTCGGTCTGTTTCGGCATTACCGCTATGGGACCTATAGAGGCACCCGTAGACGCGCTGGTGGTCGTCGCTGTCTACGCGTAGCCAAAGGATGGACAGATCCGAACCTTCAAGTCTGCCGAGGCGTCGAGAACAGATGTCCTCTCTGACGTAAACGCAAACTCCAGCCCGAGGCACAAAGGAGTGTTCCAGTTTGTACCCCGGGTAGGAGAGATACGAGACATCAGCCGGAGAGGACACTTGCGTCTCAGTCAGAAAGAGCAGAGCCGGCCTCGCCATCTCGAGATGGTAGTGGACGGCGTTTAGGTTAAAGTGAAGTCCCCTGATATTGCAGAAATTCACGGACAGCGTGGCAGGGGTCGCCTTGGTCTTGTTGCACCGTTTGCCCCGAGCAGTTGTAGTCTTGAGAGGAATTTTGTCCCCCCCCCCCAGAATACGCTGGGCAGCCTGAGCACCCACACTCAGAAGTGGAGAAACATGGTCGTGGATGCTCAGCGAGGGATTCTCCAGGGGTGCTGGTACCCTCCTGGGGTAGTCTATCATTATTTAATTCCGCTACCATGTTGATGGGAGGGGGGGGGGGGATTTGGGCCTCCGGCCACCTGCACTCACCAGACGAAAAGCAGAGCTTCCACTTTACGCCGGTATTTTGTGAAGTCGTGGTACCACCCCGGCTTGAGCCGGCCCATACGTGCAACAGCAAAGCTGCCGCGTGGCTCTACCACAGTAAGTGACAGTATACTGCTTAAGACCTCCAGCGATTCTGCCATAAGAACTATATCGTCGGCAAATCGAGGGTGAGTGATCTACTCGCCATTGATGTTAATACCGTATCCTTTCCAGTCCAGTAGCTTAAAAACGTCTTCCAATGCAGCGGTGAAGAGTTTCGGGGAAATAACGTCACCCTGTTTTACATTTCTCTGCAGTTGGAAGGGTTCGTACTCTGGTTCTGTACTCGGATAGCCATCGTAGCCCTACTGTACAAACACTTCAGCACTTCTATATACCGACAGTCAACTTGGCACCGCTGAAGAGACTGGTAACACCGCCCAAATTTCGACGGAATCAAAGGCTTTCTCATAGTCCATATACGCCATGCAAAGTGGCAGATTGTACTCTTCGGACTTCTGTACAATTTTCCGAAGGGTATGTATGTGGTCTATGGTACTAAAGCCTTTTCGGAAACCGGCTTGTTCGGGAGGCTGGAAGTCGTCGAGTCTGCGTGCGAGACGATTCGTAATGACTCTCGAAAACAGCACGTAGACGCGGCTCAGAAGGGATATCGGTTTGTAGTTCTTCAAGAGGGCGTTGTCACCTTTCTTGAAGAACAAGACCATCGCACTTCTGCTCCACGCCTCGGGAGTAGTGCCTCCATGGAGGACGGAATTGAAGAGTTTCTGAAGGACTTCAAGTACCGGTTTTCCACCCGCTTTCGGAAGCTCGCCCGCGGGCTTGCGCTTTTAAGGTGCTGGAGAGCCATTCTAATCTCGCTCAGACTGACGTCCGGGATATCATCGGAATAGTGTCGGATAAGACTTGCTCTTGGATCGTTACTCACGCTTGCGTGTGGCTCCAACGATGATGTGTACAGCTGCCCATAGAACCTCTCAATTTCACTCAGAATCTCAGGTGTCCCGGAACCGATGCTGCCACACTCAGTCTTCAGCTTTGACAGTTGGCTCTTACCGGCAGACAGACTTCTGGCAAAGACTTTGGAGCCCTGGTTCCGCTCGATCGCTTCTTCAATACGAGCAGTATTGAAGTTGCGTAAGTCTCGCCGCGTGCCTTTGGAGATCTTTCTGTTCAGTTGCCTGTATGCTGTCAAATCTGTTGACGATTGCAGCCTCATCTCCCGTCTAACAGCCATGAGATTAAGAGTGTGATCGGTGAGTTTTTGTGTTCTTCAGCGGCGGGTCTTGCAGAACTTAGCTCCGACCGCATGGACAGTTTCCACGAGTTTGTCATTCATATCGTCCACTGCATTGCAATCTTCTAGGCACTAAAAGTGGTTACGTAACTCGAGCTGAAAAGTTTCGGGATTCCGGATTAGAGCACGAGGGGGACGGAGCGTTGATTTCATTAGACGAGACCTCTCCAACTTAACATTTAGCTTCAGTGTGCCTCTAACGGTGATCGGTGATTCGGTAATCGCTGCCAGATTTCATACTCGCGATCACTGAGACATCACTGAACAGTTGGCGTCTGGTCGTCATAATGAAGTCAATCTCATTTTTTGTCGAACCGTCGGGACTTGACCAGGTCCACTTCCTTTGGGGCCGCTTCTGGAAGAAAGAGTTCATCATAAAGAGTCCGTCTTTCTACATAAGGTCAGCAAGCTGCTGGCCGCTACGGTTCCGTTTCCCTACTCCAAATTTCCCTAACTTCAGCTCACCGCTTTCTCTTGTGCCTAGTTTTGCGTTGAAGTCTCCCATCAACACCGTGTAGTGGGTTTTGGAGGAATGCATGGCTCTAGAAATATCCTCATACATTTCCTCCACCTCGAGTACTAATATAATATATACTATAATATATAATGACCACTCGTGAGTGGTTAAGGGGAATATTAGTATATATATAGTATGTTTATAGCATTGTTAATATTCTATAAAAAACAAAAACAAAACAAATCGGGATGTGCCGCGGTTGGTGCGTAGACCTGAATGACCTTCAGCGAATACCGTTTGGTGATTCTGAGTATCAGGTACGCGACCCTCGTCGACACACTCCCAATCTTTACAACGTTGTTGACGAGAGACTTGTGGACGATAAATCCGACACCTCCTTGGCACAGATGGTCGTCCTCCCGGTGATAGAGCAAGTTGCCGGACTCGAGATTTACCGTGTCCTCCTCCTCTCTTCGGATCTCAGACAATAATATGCCAACGCAACTTGTCTACCTCTTCTTCCAACTCCATTATCTTCTCGTCAGTCATCAGGGTGCGTGCGTTATACGTTGCCAGGTCGAGTCGTCGTAGGTGGCAACCGAACCTCCACCGGAGATTCTTAGCACCCCCTGCCCTCCGTTACCATGGTCGCCACCGTATCCAGGAATAACAGGGCCACCGGAGATTGGGGGCCGTTTGTTTGCGTCGTTGCTCATGGGGGGATATTTGCCATAGTTGTCACGCTTGGCGAGCGGGTTGGCAACCGCAGTTTTTTATTATGTTATTGTTGATATTAGGAAGATGCTGCTGCCCGTCTCCTGCCTGTCTCCCTCTGTCGCCTCTTACGACACCCACGGGAAGATATGAGGTAGTGAATATTCTCAACCGCCACTACACGGCACAGCACGTCTGCGCGTGTGAACTATTAAAGAAAACGACGAAACAGGTTCTTCGATGTTGATATAAACCTCAAGTTAATGGGATCGCTTGGGCGCCTTATGAACTTGAGTGGCTGTCGTCATCAACAGTCCGCTGAGCAGTCGTCAAAATCTCCCAAAAACTTCGCAATGTGGTACATCAGCATATTGTAAAGAAAAATATATATAATGAAGATTCTGAAAGAAATGATAGGCTCAGAAGGACTAGTACCCAGAGCCGTAAAGTTATAGGTTTAGTACATAAGGTTATTCAGGGTAAATGTGTTCTGTGGTTATGTATTATTTTGTTTTACTTTCAAAGTTTCAAACATTTATAAAAAAAGAATGGAATCTAATGTAATAAACTTCTATGAAATTCTACAGTGTGATAGAAATGCGTCTGCAGAAGAGTTAAAAAGAAATTACCAACGTCTTGTTCTAACTTGTCATCCTGATAAAAAGATCACCAGCAACAATCATGAAAGTTTTCTTAATATCCAGAAAGCCTGGTCTGTGTTAAGGGATCCACACTCAAGAAAACAGTATGATGCCTTGCTCTCATGTGAGGAGCACAAGGAACTGTTGTTGTATAATACAGTATCAATTCTAGATATGCATTATGATAATTCTAGTAGTATTTATTCATATCAGTGCAGATGTGGTGGAAAATACTCTGTGAGTGCCAGTGAACTGAAACCACCCGAAATTGTTATTGAATGTGATGAATGTTCGTTTTCTATACAGATTATTGTTCCTACGTGACATCATTAATTTTTGACAGCAATAAAGTTTATATTCTGTAATAAGACCTGAACAGTTTCGTGTGTTGGATTTTACTCTGCTTGGCCTATGGAGATTTCTTTGGGGATAGCATCACGGCAAATATAATGTAGGAAGTTAGTTAAAACTAAAGTAAAGTATAGCATGGAAATATATGTAGATTAATTTTCTGTATCAAAAATACCTTACTGCATTGCATACTGATTACTGCAGGTCAACCGTATGTATTAACATTATATTATTTAACATATTTGATTTAAAAAGTTAGGAACCTTGCCTATTAGTTAATCAAGAAAACAATTAAAAGTTGAAAGAGCTTCAACTAAGTAAAGTTTTCTATAATATCTGAATACTAGTAAGTATGCTTGCTCCCTAAAACTATGCAGTATACTAAAATTGTTTGGAGTGATCATTCCTTTGTTCAATAATAGTACCTTTTATTATTTTATGTACTATTATTGATTGAAGGATTAATATCATCACAATTATAATACTGATTTATTATTATTTGCATTCAATGAACTCTTAAAACAATTTGCATTACACTTTTACACAAGATGAGTGATGTGCATAGTGGCATCTAATTTGTATGTATACTACTATACCAGCATTTCATAACAAAAATTCCTACACAGGTTTGAATCGCATGGGTGCGAGCGGGTAATTGGCATGGTATATCTGCCATTCAGTTCTATTTTCATTTACTATGGTTACTGTTTTTAGGCCAATATGAAATAAAGTTGCATACTTATCTGATATAAACTTCAAATCACGTTGACAATGTGATGTGAACACGTCATCCCTTCTAGTTATATACATATGTCTATGGTGGCATCAAATATAGATTGTTATAGTTATATGAGATGATATGGCACTCAAAACCACAAGATCTTTTTTGTACATTATGTCAACTTTATACTGTGCATCTCAAGTCTTAATAAAATATTATACAGTTAGTTAAACAGTGATGGAGTTTCAATGTGTGAGTTTGTTTTAAATTTTGTGCCTTGTTGGATGCTTAATTCCATTGAAGTAATTCTTTCATTTATTATTTGCATTAGTACCTAAGTTGAACTAAGTAGTAGTTAATTTTTTTAATAAAACAAACAATTGAAATAATTTTTTTTTTATTTTTGTTTCATATTAATTAGCTTACACATTGCTAGCTTGTGGTGAAACTTAAGTTTAGATGTCTTAACATGATAAAGATAAAATTAGCCCATGCTCGAATCTAAACCAAAATTTCGCCATCCAATCCAAAGTATGTTACTTAGAGTATATTAGCCATATAAATAAGCACATAATGAAATCTTTTTATATTCTTATCTTTAGGATGTGTAAGTTTAGTTAAAGCATCTTATTGGAACTTTTTACATTTAATTTAGATTTTTAAATTCCTGATGATTTAAGTATTTTACAGCACTCCTGGTTATGGAGAGCAAAGTGTGTACCACCTATAATGAAAAAAAAACACTATTAATTATTTAAAAATATCTAATTAGTGAAATATTGCATTTAAATTAGATTGTTATAATTTTTTAAATAATTCTATTATTAGATTTGTAATCATTGGTTTGTCAAAGTAAAGCTTATTTTATAGGACCACTCTCAATCTCTTTCCAATGGAAGTAAACAGTGGTAAAAGTGTACTTTTCTAATATCTGAAAACTACTATTGAAGTAAGTAACTCCATTATAACAAAGTACCAATTTCTTGAGACTGAAAACTGTACACTTTTGACCTAGATACAAATTTATTTTACACTGGATTTTCACTGACGCATATCTTCTACCTTCATGTCGGAGTTTGTGTATACATGCGGAATGACTTCTGCTGCTAGCGTTCTATTCATCTTGACCATTTTTTTTTTGAAAATTTAGATTATGGTAGGTACAAGTATTATAATATGTATGCTATGCTGGGAGAAAAACATGCAATGGTATTTTTCTGCGGGAAAAATAAGCAACTAGGGTAATCAATGTAGATACAGTTAATTGCCATCTGCATGGCTGACATATGTATAGGCAATTTCCCCATTAGCTATATTTATCTACTGTCTAGAGAAATTTGTGTGAGTTGTGGTAGCTCAAGGGCTAAGCGTTCGCTGTAAATTTCACAGTATGTGAGCAACATGGGTTCGATCCCTTCCTCTGCATCAATAAAATTGTTAATTGCAATTTTAAGTGCTGATTTACCACGTGCTCGGTGATGGAAAACATCGTGAGGGAACCTGCAAGTCTGAGAAAGAAATTAGAAAAAAAATATTTATAAGACATCTGAAGTTCGCTAATACGCATTGGGGCAGCATGGGGAACTTTTCCTTGCCCTAAAACCCCCTCAGAAATAAGAGGAGGCCTGTGCCCAGCAGTGGGACGTTTATAGCCTGGTATAACTAGTGAAGTCTGTATTGCAAATCCCTCATCTAATAATCGTATGATACCAAAGTGTTTCACGTCAAATAAGTAGATCAAGTAGATTGAGATGTCTTCAGCTGATCTGGCTAAACTCCGTAAAGTTTTTTAATTTGAAAAGTAGAAGCATGTGCACGTGCATTTATTTATGATGTTTTTGGTTGAAGAGCGTAACAACAAATAGATGAGATACTAGCGATCACATTATTATACACAGCGAACAAAAAATTTGTGATCTCACTTTGAATTTGTGCCATTTTCATATATTAATATGTTAATTTTTTTTATATTATTATTATTGGAATAAAAAGAGATGTTTAAATGTTTTATTTTATTTAATTTAAAAAACCGTTGAATAAATGTTGTTTGACTAAACCTTGTTTTATTTAAAATAGAGTATTTATTAGTTGATGTTGATATGAAATATCAACATTAACTAATCATAAAATTTTTATGGTTATCTTCGTATTTTAGATTGGAATACATAATATGAAATCCATGTGGTTGGTTGAAATTGCTATACAAATAAAAATAAACTAATGTAGTAAGGAGTGCGAGCCTATTTTATTTAACTGGCTCTACGGTTCTGGGTTCTAGCCCTTCTGAGCCTATCATTTCTTTCATAATTTTCTTTTTATATATTTTTTCTTCACTATATGCTGATGCGTTACATTGCGAAGTTTTTGGGAGATATTGACGACAGCTCAATCCAGCGGACAGTTGATGACGACAGCCACTCAAGTTCTTAAGGACGCGTTTACAAAATTGATAGGTATAGAACGCACTACTACATTGACAAAAGTCACACACACAAGTGTACGCATGGTTGGCTGTGGGAATCGTAGTCAAATTAAATTATTTTGATAATTTGAAAGATTGAATTTGTTTTTCATTTCTTATACCTCAGAAATATACTTAAATACGAAATACGAATACCTGCTCCAGAAACTGCTTGGCACTGGAAGCCCTCTACTGGTACTGAGATGTTAGCTCTGGACTTTGAACTGGTTTTGTCAGTTATAATAAGACCTTACCTACCTGCGGACTTGATGGAGTGACCTGAAGGTGTAATTCGGTGATTACAACAGGAACTCCTAGACTAGTAGAACTAGCTGTGCCGAGTTTGAGTTCGTTTTGTTGGTTATGATGAGACCTTACCACCGGACTTGATGGAGTGACCTGAAGGTGTAATTCGGTGATTACAACAGGAACTCCTAGACTAGTAGAACTAGGTGTGCCGAGTTTGGGTTCGTTTTGTTGGTTATGATGAGACCTTAGGGTGAAGGGGGCGGACTGGTAGACTGGTGTGCCGAGTTTGGGTTCGTTTTGTTAGTTACAATGAGACCTTACCACCGGTCTTAATGGAGTGACGTGTAATTGAAGGTGTAATTCAGTGATTACAACTGGAACTCCTAGACTAGTAGAACTAGGTGTGCCGAGTTTGGGTTCGTTTTGTAGGTTATGATGAGACCTTACCACCGGACTTGATGGAGTGACCTGAAGGTGTAATTCGGTGATTACAACAGGAACTCCTAGACTAGTAGAACTAGGTGTGCCGAGTTTAGGTTCGTTTTGTTGGTTATGATGAGACCTTACTACCGGACTTGATGGAGTGACCTGAAGGTGTAATTCAGTGATTACAAGTGGAACTTCTAGACTAGTAGAACTAGCTGTGCCAAGTTTGAGTTCATTTTGTAGGTTATGATGAGACCTTACCACAAGACTTGATGGAGTGACCTGAAGGGGTAATTCAGTAACTACTGCTGGAATTTCTGAACGAGTAGAACTAGGTGTGCCGAATTTGGGCTCCGTTTTTGTTAGTTATGACGAGTCCATACCTCCGGACTTGATGGAGTGACCTGAAGGTGTAAATCGGTGATTGCAACTGGAACTCCTAGACTGGTAGAACTAGGTGTGCCGAGTTTGGGTTCGTTTTGTTAGTAACGATGAGACCTTACCACCGGACTTAATGGAGTGACCTGAAGGTGTAATTCAGTGATTACAACTGGAACTCCTAGACTAGTACAACTAGGTGTGCCGAGTTTGGGTCCTTTCTGTTAGTTACGATGAGACCTTACCACCGGTCTTGATGGACTGACCTGAAGCACCCAAGCGATCAAAACAACTTGAGGTTTATATTAACATCAAAGCACTTGTTTCGTCGTTTTGTTTCTAATTTCACACGCGCAGACAATTAATTCACAAAATCGCATCACTTTTACGAATCAAAATCCACTTTAAACCATTATTCAAGCGACAAAACAGGAGCGACAATCCGTCGACGGTAACGTTCCTGCCAAAACTCCGTAGTGCGAGCGTTGCGACTTACGAGTAGAGCAGTGTGTGGGCAGACAGGGCAACATGGCAGCAGCGCGAGGAGCACCACAAAGCATAGTGTGGTCGAGCTGAGCAATAAAACTATACTGCTGGACGCACACTTATGCACCTAAAAGCATATGAGTGCGCGAGGGCGTGTTTTACAATAAGTTGAGCGTGGTTTGGATTGGTACCAAATTCAGTTACAAAAAGAAGCTTTGGTAGAGCATATTGAAAACCTCTCTAAATGGGGTG